CACCCTTGGGTGGAGAGCATCTGGAGCTGCAGATTTAAAAATGTCTAGCCCTTCCAGAAGATCCCTAACTACATCTGCACTGACTGAAGGCCTGACAGAGCTAATAGGTCAGGATTCTCAAACTGTAGGGTCATAAACACGATAGGAACTCATGACCACTCTGCTCTTTCCAGTTTGCTAAATGGGAAAGGGATTGCTGAAGGATTCCAGTATAGAATGGGCTGAGAACTCCTGAGGTAGAAAATTGCATGTCCTGGTTCTTAATTAGTGTCTTAAGTGTTTCTCTGAAATATCCCAAATTGGTATTTTATACAGAACAATGAGGAAGAATACTGAAGAGAGATCTGGTTCCAGTGGAATTATATCTTTCTTGTTTTAATATTTTTACCAAGAAACCTGTGTCTCAATTGTTGGATTTTTTCATTCCATTTTTAATTATTCCAATGCAGACTAAGAAGTATCAGGACTTGTTTAATCAGTATTTTCCATCCATTAGCTAGAGTTAATTTCTTCCACTGGATCAAAAAAATCCCACAAAATTTACATGTCACTACGCTCATTTGCTCACTCCCATCACTTAAAAGACTTGGCCCATAACTTAGGAGGATTTTTTAAAATCAAATAGCCTCAGAACTCCAAAGACAGAAGGTGCAATCTAAAGAAGCTGTGCACCTAGCTACACCTTCACAAGTGACAGCAGTAGCTAGCTTGTGACATCCTGCCACACAATTAATCAGCTAACATTCAGCTGAAATGAGACTTCAAGTTATAGGTCCAATTCTACGTGAGAAAACTTTGGTTTACAATATGAGCCAGTATAGTTTAGTGTTGACAAAAAATAATTACGAACAACAAAACTGCACCATATGGACTCAGCTTCATTTTCACTTGTGGTTTAGGCCAGGATTTTGTCTTAGCTCTTCAATCCAGAAATAATTAATCACTAAATAGCTATAACCCTTCAACTGCAAGCTGATATTGTTGTTAGCGAACTTGTGCAACATTTCTGTAAGGTCTTCGTTAGATAGCTCTTGGCCATGATCTAAAATAATTAGGAAACTCAGATCTCTTGGAGCAAAGCTGACCATCTGAGGACTTACCAATTTCTGGATTTCAAACTCTGCAGTGGTTTGCCAGTATCCCCTGTCATCAGAGCTTTCCACCTTGACCTGGAAACCAGATGCAGAAGCTATGGCTGCTCCTTCCAAGCTAAGGGCCAAAGCCTGTAACCTTTGATTGTGCTGGTAACGATGGATAGGCTCACGCCCTATCATCAGGCTCCAAACATTAATAGTCCCTGCATACAAAGGCAGAAAAAATGATTGCATGCTACCCTATTAAATTCACGCTTAAAAGTAGGTACCACTAGTATCTCTTAGGTACCACTAGTATCCATACTGAGGCAGTTTGACTGTTCCTCAATGCTCCAGGGATGGGCAAACCATTCACTAGAAGGATTGGGTTAAGGTGGGAGGAGGAACCCTTAGCTATTTAAGACCTTTATCTGCTGTACACTTGCCCTCAGCTAGAGACAGAGAAAAATGAGAGAGCACCCAGATTAAAGCATTAAGTGACATTAGTTTAATCGATTGTAAGGCCAGAAGGGACCTTGGAAGACCATCAGGTCCAGCCCCCTGCACCAAGCAGGAAAGACAACGGAGGGTCAGATGATCCCAGCCAGGTGACTGTCTGGTCTCCTCTCGAAATTATTGCATTTACAAGTTTGAAAAAAGGTACTTACATACTTTTGGACTGTGCAAAAGAACAGCAAAGTAGTCTTTATAAAGTGAATCCACCTTATGTTACCATGGAAGTTACATATCGTTTGCAACAAAAAGCCAAATCTTAGTATTTTAGAGAACAAAGGAAATGTAGAGATGATCATTTTTTAAAGCAAAACCAGTACAGACTGACACAGAACTGACTAACAATTGCACTGGCTAGCTCCATAAATCTTCAGAATTCTACTAAAAAGTGGGGGCATATAAAAGCAAATGGCTGAATTTCAACACAGAAGATTAATCTGGAGTTACAAGCATGTTATAGAACAGGTGGGTTAGACAAAAAAAAGTGAACTAAATTTCTCTCCTGAGCTGCTACTACACTGAATTTAAACAGAGCATCAATTCCTCACCATGAGACAGGATCATAGCTGAAGATGCCTTCCTTCTACTTAAGCATGGCCATTAATGATGAAATGATTAATGATGGCTACTACTTCAAAAGGAAACATAAAAGCTCTGACAAGCAGCTGTGGATGGGCACCCATGCCAGTTTGCAAGCGCTCCTTCCATATCCCAAAGGAGGCAAAGCAGGAATGTGGTAATGAAACTGCACATAGTGGAAATGGTATCTAAATGAGTTTAAATTGATTTATGTTTGCTTTTGTAAAGATTATTTGGTATCTGAAAAGTGCTACCACTGTGAAATAATGCAGACAATCCTTAAGATCTCAGTCTAATGGCACTCCTATCGAATATTTATATTCTTCATCAAGGGAATGAGGACCATAATGGGGACCACTTTTGTTTTATTAGGGATGCATATTTAAATTAATCTGCTATTTGCCTAAACAATTAGCCGCTTCTGTTTGTGTACACAAAGCCAAAACTGCAATTAGGCTTCCATCAAAAAGATAAGTCCCGACTAAAACTGTCCCGGTGGAGTCATAAGGGCTCAGAGCAGAACTTTCCAAAATTACTTCTTAGCATAATGGTAATTATGTTAATTGTTTGAAAGGTAAATAACTGCTGAACTGGTTTTTGAAAAGAAGAATGATAGGACATGCCACATGCAAACGCATGTGCCCATGTGCTGAAAGCAAGTTAACAATTTTAAATGGACAGGGTTAGCTGCTGTTTGCTTTGGATACTATAGTTTGTCAAGAATATCAACATAAAGAAAGAGGCTTTTTGATTTGCATGCTTTGTAGTAAACAGCAAGTCCACATCACCAAACTAGCACACCAAGGATGAAGTCTGATTAAGTTGTGGACTTAATTTAAATTAACTACTACGTATACCAATATTGACCTTAACAGAGGTTTTTAAGGCAGAAATGTAAGTTTCTGTTTATGAGAAATAGACTTTTTATTGGATTTAATCTACTTATTTTCTAAGCTCCTCTGGGAAGCTGGTCTTCGTCCTCTTCTTCTTTTGACGCTCTCCAAACAACAAAACTGAAATAGTAAATCAGAGACCTGCTACATTGCAAATTGGTTCTTCTTTCACACAAGGCATTATGAAATAAGCCAAAAAGTAGGAGCAATAAGGAGGGGGAATGTTGAGATATGTAGGGAGCAAGAGCTGATTAGTGTTTTCTTTGATCTGAATTAATACACATCAATTAAATATCACTTTAAAATATGTGCATGTAATTGTGTAGAATGCATGGAGTTTTATACATGGCTTGCACACATCAGTGAACAGCCAGGAAACATTACACTGGGAACATTTAGTAGGTAAGAGTTACAGCAATTCTGATGGGACATTACTATGAAGCACTACAGGTTCTTTCACACAGCCGTACCAGAGTGTCGTCAGCCTTCACACTATTCATGTTGAAGGCAGGGCATAGTGGCACCTGAAAGACTAAATCACTCAGTCATAAAATAAGTAGGTAATAGACTGCTTCATCAGATGCTATGAATGGACTTGCAAAGAGCAGGGGTACCTAAATAGAAAGGAGTGGGAGGGGGCACTGCTGAGAAAAGTGAAGGTGGGCTGAAGAGACAAAAGGGAAAAACAACGTAGTTAACCCACTGAGGGACATAAGGGTTAAAACAGCTACTCCAGGTAAAGGGATAAGAATCCAGAATCTCTGCTGAAACCACACTTAACACAATCCAGTTTGCATGACTGCTTGTTCCGCAATTTTGCATTAAAACTGGGTTTTAAAGTATTGTTATTTAAAACTAATGCAACAATTCCTGTGGCATGAGATGGGATAAGAAAAAGGAAAAGTCACATTTCTAGTTAAATTATCTGCATATAAAACACATTTTAAGAAATATTTTCTAAAAGGTACTAAAACATAAGATTTACTAGAATGGATAAAATAAATGATTTGCATAATCTGCACTCATACTTCCAGCAGTAGCTAATGCTTCACTTTCACACAAAAACACTTTGCTACGATGAAGTTCAGATTCCATACACATAATAGCACAAGTGCCTTTCAAGACAATAGTTTTAAAAAGGAAAAGTCCATAAAACGTCAGAAACCCATGAAATTCAGAATACAAATGGTACTTCTACAACATGCCAGAGTTACATTACTACAACTCTGACTCTGCTCCAACAGAGCAGATTGATTTAGAAACAAATGCATGCTTATTCTCCAGGCTGACTTGAGAAAACGTGTGTGTGTTCAGCTGGAGTGTCTAAACAGGGAAGTCAGTTAAGAACAAGATAGTGTATTTTTTGCTGTGTGACATTACAATCACTGCTTTAGCATGCCTGATGAACATTTAGTATTAACATCCCCTTGTTACAACTGGTCTCAGATGGCAAACTATTTGGGACAGGGAAAGACTTTTACTCTGTTTCTACTATGCATCTCTAACCCTGACTGGAAGCAGGAGGTGCTTACTTAGAATTGGACAATTATGGAGGACGTCTTTCTGTCAAGGGGGAGTGAGTCAGAGGTGTTCCCCATTATCAATACAAGCCTCGTATGTTCCATTCTTTACAAAGTCAGCACTGAAGATACATCTCGCAGAGAACTGGTTTTATAATCAGCTTCACATAAACTTCTCTCTGGTAAAAAATATTATATCTGCCACTATGTGAACCTTAGCACTTATTCATACAAAAAAAAAAAATCTAATGTCATGATATAGGAGGTCCACATCAGCATAAAACCAAAGAATGAATATACATATGTAGCTGTCCTCTTTATTCCCATTAATTCTATTTGGGAGTTTCACCCCTGCCTTTCCTACTTTGATCCAAAACAATTTAACATAAAACTTCTTCATTGTTAAATATTTTGTTTTCAATAGAGGAAGCTGGAAAAAATCCCCATCATATAACTTCATGGTGAAATTTGAAATAGCAATTGTATGATCTACAAGGAAGATATTGCCTGAAATTATAGGGAAATAAACTATTAATGAAACACATGAATTGGAAAGAGCTTTGGCTTGAAGTCCAAAACTTATTATCTTGAATTCTGGATGTTTGCCAAAAAGCACTTTTAGTCTGAAAGGCCAGTGGCACCTAACAAAGTTTGATATTATGAAACCTACTAGGACTAGAAGCATATGTTAAATGTAATTAAAAAGTTACAATTCCCATAGCATTCCCACTGAAATCTCAGTTTTCAAAGGGCATAGCAAATACTACTTGCCTTGCTAAGTCACAAAATACTGAACCTTAAAAATCACATTGAGATAAGTATTGTTTCTTCCCACAGCAGCCACCGAGTCAATTTTATCATGATTGTTGTGCTTGCTCTCTCAAAAAATTATTACTACATATGTTTATTGAAGTCACCAAGCCTGTAGAAAACAGCATGGCTCCATGAACAGGGCAAAGTACTAGAGGAATAAAAGCTGAATTCTGTTCCCAAGACCATATTTAAGTGAATTACTTCACCTTTCCTTGGCTATTTACTGACGAATCTATAAAATAGTGATGACATTTACCCTTTCCTTTCTATATCAATGCTAAATATAAGTTTTTAGATACTGAGGAACTAAAACCTGTAATATTGAGTAACTCCAAATTTTGCCAAATGTGCATTGTTGTTGTTTTCAAGTACTGTAAGACAATCTTCTCTCCATAAACACAGAGGTGCTGTGCATCAAAAGGAACATTTACATGGAAGGCAGAATTAGTATATATCAGGGCTGTCCAACTGGTAGCCAATGGACTGCATGTGCCAGAGAGATTAGCATGTGGCCCCTGGCCTCCAGGTCCAGGTACTAACACTTTGCTCTGGCCCCAGAGTCCCAGGCTCCCCCTATTCCCTAAAGCTTCCACTGCCTGCTCCAGCCCCTGGGGGCAGGGGGGAGTAGCTTAGCCCACATGGACCTTTGCAGCATCCATGCCATTACAGTGCAGTGGAAGTTGCTTACTGTGCTGGGGGTGGGGAGGGGGCATGTTGCAGCACATCCATGTGGCACAGGGTCAGGAGCTATGTGCCATGTTTCTACAGCATTGGGAGAAGAAGGGAACACATGGCATGCTGCAGAGTGTCTGTGCAGCATGCAGAAGAACTGCGTGGCACGTTTCAATGCATCCACAAAGGTCAGGAGGACTGTGCAGCATATCCACATGGAAGAAGCTGGAGGAAGATTGTGGCTTGGGGTCTCACACGGCACATCAGCAGCCCATACGGTATGGCAGTAGTGGGTCTGTATGGTACACAGGGGCTCAAGGCACTGGGTTGTGTGTTGGCACATGCAGTGTGTGGCTGGGGGACCTGTTGCCCCTGCCACCCAGAAGCTGGACAGCCCTGGTACAGATTTACCCAAACTAGTTTGTTTACAACTAGATCAGGTCAATCTATATTACAATGCAGCCTGCAATGTAGACATAGCCTTTCACAGGTACCATTTAAGTACATGTAAGCCAAACTCTGGTGCAAAGGCAATGTTGTGGCATATTTTGGCACTGGGAAGTGTACTACAGATATTTATCTTCATCAGAAGCCTCCATTTCTGATACTGTAAACACAGTACAGCAGTTTCAACATCAGTGGACATCACCCACAAACAGCTCCCAGAGCCTCTCATTCCCCATCTTGTCTGCTGAAACAGTAGACTAGGCTTTTAGTCTAACAAGAGGAACTGAAAATGGAGCATGCATACAGGCAAGGCATTCTCCTTGGTGCAGAAGTCACTTTCATTTGTTCCACGTCAAGTCGTCAACCTATGGCAAGTAGCTACTCCTGTTGAGGTTTCAAAATATTAACATAAATGGGGACAATATCATTTCCCTCCAACACGCACAGACACACATGGGAGCTCAAGTCTTCAAAAAAGTATGTTCTCATTGTAAACCACAGAGTTTTCAAGTCAAGCAATGAGAATCTGGAGGGGGGGTGGTTAAAGTAGACTGCTGTTCCCCAAAAGCTGTGGCTCACAGCCAAAGGCAGGCAAGCATGGAGCAGATGGAGTCCTGGCAAGGCCTCTACTGTCCCTGCATTAGCAGCATCTGCTCATTACCCAGAACCCTAGCCTGCTTTATCTAATGCTCCAGGAAAAGCATTTTGATTTGATTCATTTCAGTACGGTAACGTGCAACACAATTAGTGGTAAAATCAAACTGGAGACCTGCCAATGCTGACAATAGGAAACAAGGCAGAAGAAATATGAGGCCAGTGGGTCGGAATTCAAAAATCACAACTGTGGATCAAGTTGCCAAATCTTGCTGCCCCAGGTGTACATGCAGTGTTCCTACTGGGCACCCAGAGGGGAGGAGGGAACTTATACTTTATCCCAATACAATTTTTTTATCTCCCTCTCCCTACATCTGCCTGTCTGAAGCTGTCACCCATGGGACCATTCACCTAGATTCTCAATTCAGTTGTTTCTGAGTGACATCATTTAGCCAGGGTTCACTTTTGAACAGCCATCCTACAAGATACCCTTTTGTTTGCTATATTTCTTATGCCTTAAGTGTTTGCTACTACTGAACTGCTAAAACAGTACTATAGGCAGGCACTGAATGAGGAAATTCTGCCTGCTTGTTCTTCTGTGTGATCAGATGCCAAGAACATCGCTGCTTGAGCTCTGTTGAACTGGGAGAAACTGATGTTATCTCAATGAGTCTGCTAGCCAGGGATTCAGCAGAGAAGTCTAGACTCTTTGCCTGACAGCACCACCTCCAACATGAGCAGATGGTTTCTCTGTATTAGTCAAACTTACAAAACAAAGGAGAAAGGGAGCTGTAAAAGTACAACAGATAAAGAGCATGCAAAGTTGTAAAGTTTTTGGCACTTAGATTAAAACTATTTTCTCCACCAAACTGTAAATATATACTTTGCAACTACAATGCTGGAAAACATTTGCAAAGCAATAAAAAATCCCTATTTGTAGGAAAATTAGATCTGTTCTGACCAAAGCTCTTACATGAGGATAATCACTGTCATGTCACAAAGCCCTTTAAATAATCTACCCAGTAAAGTTAAAACAGATCAGTTTATTAAAATCAGTTTGTTACACTTAGATTACAACATACAGTTCAAAACAAGGACCCTGAAAAAACAGTTTATTAAAGCTGTTGTCAGAGAAAGACTACAAGACAAATTAATATAAAAGCAGAGAGCTTTGCTCTTTGTTGCCTGCTAAATTTAGAAAGCCAAAGCCAAAACTAGCATTGTGTACTGAAATAATCTATGACTCTGATAACCAGGGTCAATTTATATAGATTAATAAAAAAAATGGATGTAATGAGGAAACTTTGCATTAATGATCTCCAGTGACAGCAAACAACTGTAGCACAGTTTATATTGAAAAACAACCCCTCTATAATCAGAATACTTTGTTTCTTTTGTAGAGATTGGTTGTTTTTGATCATGTTATTTTAATATTTATGGATCTGAATCTCTGATATGTTTGACTGCTATAGTGTATTTTCTTTTCTGCTACCTGATAATATTACATTGCATCATAATCAGCACCAATACAGTAGTTCTGGAATATTAACAAGTTTTGATTTAAACAGATAAAAAGAAAAGGACTTCTTACTATCAAAACACAAAAATTATGTATTGGAGGATATGAATAGGATTTAGTTTTGCTTGGGACACAATAGAATCCTAACTACATAAATTTACTCTATCCAAGCCTCTCCTTTTTAATAACTGTCACCCCATCTCCTTGTTCTAGTCATTCTTTGCCTCTTGATTCTGTATTATCTCTGGTATAGCCTAAATGTTATACCTTTTCACTTGCATGCTAAACAATTTTTACCATATTTTCCCACATGCAACATGCACTTTTTCTCCCTTCCCCCTACTAAGTCCCCCAAAATTGGGGTGCATATATTAAGTCAGGAAGTTGGTTTTCTGACTAGGATAGAAGCATCCTGCTTTGATTTCTGCTCCACAGTGCAACAGCTGTTGCATTATTATTCAGGTAGCTGAGGGAGTCAATTGACTTAAGGGCTCATTGTTCTTTACCCCAGCGGTGTTAACAATTGTCTCCCCTTTTTAACGGTCTTGAAGTTCCACTAATCAAGCTAGGCTTCCTTAGGGTGCTTTTGCTGGCTGTTAGCTGCTTCTGATCTGTCTCCTCCAATTTCAGAGCCTTGGAGACTCTTTAGCTTGACGGTTATCAACCAGGGGTCTAAGGCCTCCTGGGGGGCCATGGGCAGGTTTCAGGGGGTCCGCCTGGCTTGACCTGGCATGGGGAGGAGCTGCCTTAGTGCCCCAGGGTTAACATGAGTCCCAAGGAAGGGGTGGGGACAGGCCTGCCCTGCCTGGCCCCACAGGATCCATCTTGAGGGTGGCACTGCAGGTGGGAGAGGCTCCACATTGCTACTACTCAGGTGAGTGGGGCCCCAGGGCTCTCTGCTGCCAAGCCCTACCCACTGCACCTGGGGTCACGGGGGCAAGACTGGGGAGCTGGGCAGTTGTGGCATAGGTGGGCCATGGAGTGTTTATAGCATGCGGTGGGGGGCCCCAGGAAGAAAAAGGTTGAGAACCCCTGTCTTAGATCTTTTCAAAATCAGAGATCCGCCCTTGGAGACAAGCCTTCAGCAACAGCTAGGGTTTCAGCTCTAGTTAAGCAGGAGAGAAAGGGTGACTCAGTTGAACATTAGGGCCTGTCCCCACTCTATGTGACCATAACTCTGGAAAAATCTTTTCTTTGTCATTGTGCCTTTCAGAAATAAGCTTTGTATTATATTCAGAGACACGTAGTGTGTAAGAAAATATGGTATTTCTATCAGTAAGGATACATGACAAAAACAATATGTGTTGCTTACAAAAAGAAGGCTTTCTTTGTTAATAATGTACTGTAACCCCTAAGCACTACAAATTAAAGCAACATTAAAGAAAAAGTTCTGTGTATATACCCTATGTATACTTTATGCAAGGAACCAGAAGGGAGAATCTAGGTTTTGTTAACCAAGCTTTGCAAGCTTATCATAAACTTGCCTCAGGGCACCCTAAGAAAAATCAGGCTGAAGGAAGAATATTTAATATTTTTATAGCAAACAAGTTATTTGCTTAAGATGGCTTGGCTGGTCCACAGGCTGGCACTCAAACCTTGTGCAGCAGTTCCAATAGGAATTAAACATCAGTTTTAATGGGTGCTATGTTCCAATGCCTCCTAATGCATTTAGGGTTATTGGCCAACTTTTTCACATAAAAGCAAGTGTGTGTGTGTGTATACAGGATTATAGACACACAAAAAGCTGAGCACAGCTGCTTCATTTTTGTAAAGCCTTTTTTTTTAAATAGGGAGGAGAGTTATGGTTACTTACCATCCTCATAAGCTGCTACAGCCAGAGAGCTGTTTATCCTCACAAAGGAGACATATGGCTGTGGTCCAGGTTCAGCAGCGCCATGCATTGATTCCAGGATGGGGGCTGTGTAGTCCCAGGTGCGAGTGTCCCACAACCTCACATCCCCTGATGTATATCTGGAAGAGAAGGATGCTATTGATTCCAAAAATATTTTTGAGAAGATTCAGTGGGGAGGAAAGAAATGAGAAGAGAATTAAACACCACTCAGTGGATTTCATTAGGCTTAGATCTATGGCACTACAACATAGAAAGGTATCTCTAATTCTCCTTTTATTTACGCTGGATTTATATCAACATAATTCCACCAACTTCAGTAAAGTTATTCCTGATTTACACTGTTGAGTACAGAATCCGGCACATTAAAGGAAACAGCCAAGAAATAAGCCTTTTACAGTAATTCTTATTATTGTAGTTATAAAATGATACCAACCACATACGTTAACTTTCTAGAAATGATGCAAGGAGAGTAGGGTACAGGGAAATAATATAAGTAGTAGTGGCTATAACGTAAGAAAACCTAGACTGTAGTTTATTAACCTTTTGCCTTAAAATTCCTCTCTTTGGAAGTACAATAAATGAAAGTTTACTGGCAGTAGGTTTTTACACTATATTGAGAATTAATGCACGTTCCTTATCCATGAAAATTTGACTAAGCTCCTGAAGACTAATTGCTTTGCTCATATAATTCAGTCCTGCTTTCAGAATCCAAGCAATGCTAACTTCTCATGGAACGCTCTCTCAACGAGACATGTCATTTCTGGTTTTATTTTCATTTGACAAAGCAACAAAATGCAAACTACACTAGCCACACCTGATTTCAGACAGCATGTTTTAAAGGCACTAACCACAGAACCAAAAAAAGGGGGTGGGGGAAAGAGTTGGGAAGAGTATTGGATGCCTCCTAATGTATTTAGGGTTACTGGCCAACTTTTTCACATAAAAGTAAGTATGTGTGTGCATGTATACAAGCAGAATGGAGATGAAACAAGTGTGCAGAAAGAACATAAAATGACTTATCCTACGTATCAGCTCCCTCTACTACTGGTCAAAGAGCACTATCAATTTGAGGTGGAAAGAACATATGAATGGCATACTTAGGCATTTAATATGGTCACAGGAGGTCTGCAACTCTGAAAGCTGTAAAACAGCATCTATTTCTTTTCCCATTATAGCACAGATCCAGATAGGATTTTACAAATGAAAAACTACCCAAGGCCACACACCCTATGGACTGCACCAGCAAGGGCTGCACAGGCAGCACTATTATGAGCTAGAGGTCCCCCAGGCTGTACTTCGGATGGGCACCTCTACACATGCAGGCACCCTGGCCTCACCCTGAGCTTCCTGGTTATAGACTCTCATGCTAAACTGTGCAGCTCCGAGTCACCTCTTGGGGCAGAGGCAGGAAGTGGAAGGATAAGAGTAGAATGCAGACCCCAGCCAATGCTCGTCAAAGTACTGGGGGAGCTTGGAGGGAGGGCTACAAATTAACTCCACAGGCTGTCAGTTAGACAGTCCTACGATAAAGGACGGGCTTATGGTTCAGGCGCTTGACTAGAAGCCCAGAGACCTTGAATTTGCTCCCCCATCAGAGAATACCCTTGCTTCTGAACCATAAAGTACTTTGGAGGGTAAATTCCTAAATCTCTCCTGTTCAAACTGCTCAACAAATATTTATTGGGCCTGAAACATCAAGAAAGAACCATAGAGTTTGGTGGTCAGGGAATAATTTGTGCTGTGGATCACAGAAAAAAGGGACATGAACTTTGGTATTCTGCCCGAGTGCTGTTTGATACACACTGGTGGTTATGGAGGGGCACCCTTTTCCTCCTCAGTTCTGTGAAAAAACATCCAAATCCTGTGACTCTAGCTCTTCATTTCCAAATTTCCAGTGCATTTATTAAAAACAAGTTGAAAATGCCCAAAACAAAACAGAACATTTTAATTCATTTTATTTCATATGTAACAATATGTTTCATTTAATCCAATGGGCTGTTTTCAGTTCATCTAAAAATGAACTGTTTTTATTCCAGATTGACTCAAAATAATTTTTTTCTTTTGTTTTTTCAGCTTTGTCACAAAACCACTAAAAACAATAATTTGCACAGCTCTGCTGTCACCCCTGAACATGCCACAAGTTGAATTCCCCCTCTCCCCCTGCAACCATGACATTTTGGGAGTCATTATTTCTGAGTTGCTTTTCATTCCCCTTCTCGTGCCTGCACAGGTAGGGTTCATAGTTTCATGCTCATCTCCTCAGCCACAAGGACAAAAAAAATCTTGTTTTTCCTCTTTTAACAGGAACCAGAGATTGTCCTAGAATCACATTTACTCAGGAAATTAAGGCTTTAAGAGAAACAAATTCACCCCCAGCATGAGCAGAAGGAAAAAGCAACAGTATATACCATTACACATAAGCATATTTGTTGGCACTTATTCAGACTGGGGAGTATAAAAAACAACCATGAGGGTTGGGATGGGAGTTAAAAGGCTTAAGTGAAAATATCAGGAGAGAAAGAATCTGGTATTTTTGCAAGCTCTGCCTACCTTCACTACAGAACATGCAAAGGGAATGCTCCAAAGCTCAGAACATGCCACCACACATAACAAAAAGCAAAGGGCTGATTGGTATTGGATCCTTAACTGTAAAATTACATAGATTTTAGTGTCCAAAGGAGTTTTTAAAACTATAGCATTCTTTTAATGCTACTGTAAAAGGTAGCACTCCCTCAGTCTGTAAAACCCATAGTTCTTTCAAAAATTTTAAAGGAACAGGAATTCTTCCTTTCTATTTAAACAATTTCTTTTTACAGCAAGGCAAATGGCAGAAGAATGTGGTGCACAGTGTACAACAGGCTCCCAAATGATACATTTATTATAACAAACCCCATTAAAGCATGCCACCTTCAACAGAATGACAGAATTGGAAGGGATCACCCTGGCCAGAGTGCAGTCCTGCATGAACACTGGCACCCCTGTAATAAATGTTCTTGTGGGCCCTTTTGGACAAACTTCAAATACTTTTTAAGGTTTCTTGAGCAAATGTAGTTTTGATGATTGAAGCTGAACTGACCTATATAATCAAGTCCTTTATCAGAGACCAGGTGTAGTAATTCTAAACCCATTGTCTGGTTGTTTGTTGAGACTGCCAACAAAGGTGACAAAGATGATACGTGCACTTTTATGCTAGGGAAAAAAATTCTAGTTGATTTATAATAGAACAATAAAGAGATGCTATTTTCTATTATATGGGCAGCATTCAGCTGTTTTCTATTTTCTGCCCACTGTTCTCATTGGTCAAATTCGGTAACAAATACATACAGCTGTACCTCTTTTGACCCAGACTGCTCGCCGAAATTCTAGGACATGCAGACTGCTCCAGTTAGAAGAAACTGATGATGGAAACAGTTTATTTACAAACATTTACCCAAGTCCTGTTTCCCTGAGCACAGGAGGGATCAAAGAACAAGACACAATCCCTTTGCCTGTAGTTCCAATCATCTTTCAGCCAAGACCCTGGTCCAAAAGCTCTCTCTTGGCATGTCTCAGAGTCACAAAATATGTGTGTCCATGCTGTGTCTTGTTTTCAGCCATCTCTTTCTATACACTTCTCTGTTTCTCTTCCCTCCTCACTCCCAAAAAATACTCAGCAAAGCTTCTCAATCCAGACAGTTCAAACTGATGACTGGACTCGGATGTGCTTTTGTTGTGGGCAGTGACACATTTGACTGTCTCTTACACTTCTCTTAAATGAAAGACAGCAGTTATACTCACCAGTTTCAATGAAATTTGGCACAAACAATAACAACACCCATTCCTTCAAAACGGCCATTCAGATACACACTTCACTGAAAATAAGATTACCAAACAAGTGTCCTAAGCTAGAGTAGCAGAAAAGTCAATATATCTGCATCCCACCACCTTCAAACAGCAGTGTCTACTCACAATGCATTTCTGGATTGTTTCAAATAACCCACGTGCTGTCCACCCTCTTATTCCAAATGCTGCAAGGATTTTTCCCCAAACTATTTACCTCACACACCAAGCATCCAGTCAGCACCCCACACCATGACTTTCCACAGTCATGCCGATGTTGGCAAGAAATCTTTGTCAAGAAAATGCTTGCTTGCCTACCTGGAGAGGTAGGCAAGCAAGCAAAAGAAGGATTTTCCAGGGTCGTTGAAATATTCAACGACCCTGGAAAATCCTTCTTTTAAATGCTACAGGCAGATGTATCTAACTGGTGGCCCACAGGCTGCATCTGACCTGCAAGGAGTTAACGTGCAGCCCCCCCAGGCTCGTGCCCAGCGCCCATTGCTTCCACTGCTCCAGCTGCTGTGGCAGCCGTGACTGGAGTCTCTGGGGTGGGAGTGCAGTGGGAGCCCTGGTGAGCTCACGGCAGCACCAGCAGTGGGTTTCAGGTGGGCAGCTTGTGCTGCTCACATGGCAGTTGAAAGAGGGTGGGGAAGGGGCTACATTTATCATTAGCTTCAACCTTAAGGTGATCTTCAAGTCCATACCTACTGACCATCTATACTGTAAATCCCTAAATTCAAACCCCAGCAATACTCCAGACCAACCCTAGAAGCTCTGCTGAGCTGCCAGATGCAAGATTCACCCTGGTCCCATTTACTTCTTGGCCCTCCCCTTTCTGAAGAGAGTTTGGAGTCCGTGAGTGCTGCAAGCCTCATGCACATGGAGTATGTGAGCAGCACAATTCCTTCCTGCTGACTTCTGACCCTTCTGCATCTCATTCCTTTATTACCCATGAGCAGAGTCTATAAACACACCCCAGAAGAGTTTTGCATGTGAACCTGGGATACATCTTAGTGGTTTGCTCAAAAACAGTGCAGTGCAATATGAAAAGCTTTGCTGCAAGCTACAAGGTATAATACACATGAGGAAACGCTGTTCTTGTGGCCCTGGCCAGTGAAGACAACCTCCAAGTTGAACATATATATCACTAAAGACATTCCCTTAATGTCTCTTTCACTATTGTACTGTATGTAGCTTTTATATTTCTGTAACTATATATATGCTCTGTTATTCTTTTTGGCAATGTTGTTATAACTCTGAAAAACCATTCCTGTAATAAACCTTAAGAAAGTTACTATAT